GCAATTAAAGAAGAAATTAAAAATATCTATATAAATGGAAGGAAATGAAAATGAAAACATGGCAGTCCAAACACTTGGGATGCAGCAAAGGCAGTCCTAAGAGGCAAATGCATTGCAATCCAGGCCTATCTCAAAAAATAAGAAAAATTCCAAATACAAAACCTAACTTCACACGTAAAGGAACTAGAAGCAGAGTAGCAAAGAAACCCCAAAGCCAGCAGAAGCAGAGAAATAATAAAGACCGTAACAGAAAAAAACAATAAAGAGTCCAAAAAAATCCAAAAAACAAAAACAAAAACCCAAAATAGGTGCCTGGGTGGCATAGTTGGTCAGTTAAGCGTCTGACTTAAACTCAGATCATGATCTCACAGTTCATGGGTTCAGGCCCCACGTTGGGCTCTGTGCTGACAGCTCAGAGCCCCTACCCTGATCACACTGTCTCTATTTCTCAAAAATAAATAAACATTTAAAAAACTTTTTTAAACCCTAAAGAGTAAATCAGCTCAATGAATCTAAGAGCTTGTTTTTTGAAAGAATAAACAAAATTAATAACCTCCTAGCCAGATTTCTCAGAAAGAAAAAATAGAGAACTAAATAGATAAAAATCACAAATGAAAGAGATCACAACCAACACCACAGAAACATAAACAATTATTAGAGAATAATGAAACTATGAAAAACTATATGCCAACAATCTGGGCAACCTGGAAGAAATGGACAAATTCCTAGACATCCATGCACTTACCAGAACTCAAATAGAAAGAAATGAAAAATTTGAACAGACACATAACCAGTGAAGAAATTGAATCAGTTATCAAAAATCTCCCAACAAATAAGAGTCCTGGGCCAGATGGCTTCCCAGGGGAATTCTACCATACATTTAAAGCAGAATTAGTACCTATTGTTCTCAAACTGTTCCAAAAAATAGAAATGGAAGGGAAGCTTCTGGAATCACTCTATAAAGCCAGCATTACCTTCATTCCCAAACTAGACAGAGGCCCCACTAAAAAGAATTACAGGCCAATATCCCTGATGAACATGGATGCAAAATTCTCAACAAGATACTAGCAAATTGAATTCAACAGTATATTAAAAGAATTATTCACCATTATCAAGTGGGATTTATTCCTGGGCTGCAGGGCTGGTTCAATATTCACAAATCAATCAATGTGATATATCACATTAATAGAAGAAAGGAGAAGAACCATATGATCCTGTAAATTGATACAGAAAAAGTATTTGACAAAATGTAGCATCTTTCTTAATAAAAACCCTCAAAAAAGTCAGCATAGAAGGAAAATCCCTTAACATCATAAAAGCCATATATGAAAAGCCCACAGCTAATATCATCCGCAATCGTAAAAACTGAGAGCTTTCCCCCTGAGATCAGGGATAGGACAGGGGTATCCACTCTCACCACTGTTGTTTAACATAGTGCTGGAAGTCCTAGCCTCAGCAATCAGACAACAAAATAAGATAAAAGGCATCCAAATTGGCAAAGAAGTCAAACTTTCACTCTTCGCAGATGACATAATACTCTGCATGTAAAACCTGAAAGACTCCACCAAAAAGCTGCTAGAACTCATACATGAATTCAGCAAAGTTGCAGGATATAAAATCAATGTACAGAAATTGGTTGGATTTCTCTACACCAATAATAAAACAATAGAAAGCAAGAAATTGATCCCATTTATAATTGCAACAAGAACCATTAAAAACCTAGGAATAAACCTAACCAAAGAGGTAAAAGATATGTATGCTGAAAACTATTAAAAACTTATGAAAGAAATTGAAGAAGACATAAAGAAATGGAAAAACAGACACTTGTGGGGATGAGCACTGAGTGTTATGTGGAAACTAATTTGACAATAAACTATTTGTAAAAAAAAAAAAAATGAAAATTCAGCTCTAGAAACATACAAAAAAAAAAAAAAAAGAAATGGAAAAACATTCTGTGCTAATGGATTGGAAGACCAAATACTATTAAAATGTCAATTCTACCCAAATAAATCTACACATCCCGATCAAAATCAGAATCCCAATCATAACGGCACTGGCATTCTTCTCAACAATCTTGACAACCTGGAAGAAATGGACAAACAGCCAGAACAAACAATCCTAAAATTTGTATGGAACCACAAAAGATCCTGAATAGTCGAAGTAATGTTGAAAAAGAAAACCAAAGTGGGAGGCATCACATTCCCAGACTTTAGCCTCTACTACAAAGCTGTAATCATCAAGACAGTATGGTATTGGCACAAAAACAGACACATAGACCAATGGAATAGAATAGAAATCCCAGAACTGGACCCACAAATGTATGACCAATTAATCTTTGACTAAGAAGGAAAAAATATCCAATGGAAAAAAGACATTGATGGTAAATGTGGTTGTTCATGGGAACTCATTCTACACGACCTTTCCCCACATCCTATGTTCCAAGTTTTCTGATCCCCTATTATCCAATTTTCTTTCTCTTTGCTCTTCTGCCCTTCCACTCATAGTACCCATTAGTGTATATATTGAACAATACACGCACACACACACACACACACACACACACACACAGTTTATCTGAAATTAAAATGTAACTGGGCACTTGTATTTTGTCTCACTGCCTTCCTCCACCTGCCACTCCCAAACCCCACTCCTTCGGAAAGGATCCCCATGGCTGTTCCCTGGAGACAGAACTCTTCCCTTTGACCACAGCCTTCTCTTTCCTATGGTTGGCACCTCCCACTCCCCAGAGGGAGGCTAAATAATCACTAGGTAAGACCAACCTCTCTATGCACTTGGAATCACTTCTCCGTTTGACCATCAAGTCCCGAAGCCCAGCTGGACCCATTCTTTCAGACTTCTATGCACAGGGGTCTCATTGCATCCGCCTCTTACACAGCCCCCTCAGGGAACCCCAGACCACCAGACACACGTGTATTTGTGTAATGTCTGTGTGACATATTGTTCTGTCTGTTCAGAACCTCTTCTTTTGGGGAGCCACTCTCCCATTCCATGCATTGCAGGAGGTGCTGGTCCTTTCTTACTTAGCCATGGGGGTGTGGTCTAGGCCATGAGTCTTAGGGCTATCCAGTCAGAGGAGTTCATCTTCTAGACCACAGTGGTTGTTCAAGGCTTAGTACATACTTAGGGTCAGGTCAGAAGCCTCTCCTAACTTCTCTGCTAGACCTATTGGTAAAGACAATTCCCTTCCTTTAGGGTCATTGACTGTAAGGATGGTTTAAGCAGACCATAAGAGAAATAGCTCTTATGGCCATTTTCTCTGACACATAAGAGTCACTCTGAAATAAGAAGAAAGGGCAACTATAAAAAGAGCAACAGAAAAGAGAGAGAGTGAAATCTTGATGCCATTGTTTAAAAAGAGCCTGACATACCTAAAGCTAGAAATCAGTTATTTTTAAAAAATAAATACAGTGGGTCATTTAATTTTTGCTTATGCTACTTTGAATTGAAAGTGAATCCTAATACATCTAAGCCTCAGTTGGTTATTAGGTCCATGTTTTTTGAAACAGGCCTCCTTGGCCCCATGAAAATCTGACAGTGTGGCTAGGCACCTGTTTCATTGTGCCCAAATTCTGTATGACATTCAAGAGTCAGTCTGCTGTGAACATCTAAGCTCCTGAGGGGACAACACAGCCTTGCTCACTGGATGCCAACCAGCCTCTGTAGGAATGTAGTACAAATTACTCTTTAAATAAGTACGTGCACACACACACTGTTTATTACACATACTTTGTATATAAATACAATCTATGTGTTCAATATGCTATGTATTTAATTATCAAATATGGAGCCACTGTGTGAAAAAGAATTAATAATAATTAGTGTTATGATGTCCCAAGTTGACCATCCAAGGCTGGGTTCTCTTGGATTCATCTGGGCATGTCCAGCAGATTACTGGAATTGGTATATGTGGAGTCAATTTGTGATGAGTCAAGACAGCAATACAAATATGTGAAAAGCAAAACCAGGGGTATCTGTAACCTTTCTGTGGACCACTGAGGGTCCAAGGCAGCACTGGCATTCTCGGCTGCGTTGGCACCAGCAGCAACAGCTGAGGTGGGGGTAGGTTCACAGTACCTGCACCAGGTCCTCAGGGACCTCTACACTGTTGACTGAGGTGTGGGAACTAAGAAATCTCTCCGAGGAACCCCAGAAATGGACAGGACTCCTAACTGAACTTCAATTTCCTTATCTAAGAAATGAGTCAGGAACTACATCTGGAATTCCTTTGATTCTTCTTTCTTATACAGAAGGAGGCAAAGAAGAAAAAGAGATTATGAGTTATCGCTTGGAACTGACTGGTCTTTACAAAAAGAAAAGGGAGGTAATGGTACCGCTTAGGATAAGTATTAGTACAGAGCTAAGTCAAGTCACAATAGACCTTCCAAGACCAAAGGTCTGTAACAAGATATGGCTTATTTCCAACATGGAAATTCTAGAAGTTTCTATAAAGATGGGAAGCTATTATTTAAGCAGCAATTGATCACAAATACAAAGTCAAAGAGATATTCCATTATAAAACAGCACAGTATTTCCTTTAAATGTTGATATTGATATGCTTCACATTATCCCATTTTATAGAATGAGCATAATCCATAGTTTATTATATTTAGAAGTTTATTTTATACAAAGATTCAAACCACATGTTTGGTCACTGACATTGACATATAAGAGGGGCTGCTGAAACTCTACAGTATAGGAGGTTATAAACAGCCCCTAGGAGGAAGGAATTTTAAAAAACTGATTTTGAGCCATTGATGGTAAATGTGGTTGTTCATGGGAACTCATTCTACACGGCCTTTCCCCACATCCTATGTTCCAAGCTTTCTGGTCCCCTATTGTCCAATTTTCTTTTCTCTTTGCTCTTCTGTCCTTCCACTCCTAGTACCCATTAGTGTAATCTCTCATCTCTCCATTCCTTTTTACACTCTGTCTCCCCCTAGCCTCCTGACCTTCTCCCCCACCACTACCCTCCACGTCTCTCATTCCTCTGCCTCTCTACCTTTTCCATTAGAAGCCTCCTTTTGAGTCTTTGCTATATCATCTTTGCCCACCACAGGACATTTTTGCTTTTCTTTCTTACCACTACACAAGCTGGTTTTGAGAGAAAATGGTTTCTTGCCATGGGACTTCTTTTCATTTGTATGTTCCATCTTAAATGATACATTGCTCATCTGAACGCCCTTTACCAGATTCTTTATTTTAGACTTATACAGAGATAATTCCAAATCCCAGGTCCTGTTACACCTTATAGATTCCATTTGTTCTTTAAAATGCTTCAGATCCTGCTTTACCAAGGGAGAAATTTTCAGGGAGAACTTTAGCTCAAAGTTCGACGATGTCTCTTTTTTCAATATGTCCAATAAAAACCACACACTGAGGGTCATCTCCTCATTCCCTGCCTGCCCCTCTTCATTCAGAAGCCTGTTCACTTCTCTACGGGACTCTTTCCCCAGCTCACTCTGGTCCTCTTTCACCAGGTAGGACATGGCATGAAAAAATTCTTGGAAGCTAATGTGGCAGAAGGTATAGAACTTCTTGATGTCAAATCCCTCTTGGTAATCCATGCTGGTCAAGAAAGCACCAAGGCTGGTCCCATCTAGATTGTACTTCCTGAGGTCAGCTTCTTCAAACATGAACCTCTGGTGCTGGATCCCCTTAGCTGCTAAGGAGCACAGACCCCTCAGGACCCTGTGCCGGGTAAGCTCAGAGCCACCTCCGTTGTCACTGGGAGGCAGAAAGGTGGAGACATAGGCCATGAAGATGTCGGTGCTATTACTGGGAGTCTCTGAGATCTCTCTGCTCCTCTCCATCTGCCCCTTCAACCAGGAGCAGACCACCCAGCAAATTCCTGGAATCTGACATGATTTGTAGAGAACTTCGTTCTCTAGTACAATGGCAAAGGCTTTTCTGGCTTGCTCCTCGTCTGTGAAATAGGAGCTGAAATACCTCATCCTCTCATCCTCAGAGAAGCCTAGGATGTGAACATGATGCGACTGTTTCAGCAATGGCCTCAGATTGAACAAACCCTGGGGCCGGGTGGTGATAAGAAGCGAAGATGTGGAAAGCACCTCTCTCTTAATTAGACAGTGCAGCTTTTTCTGCATGAGGCCCGGACTCGGCGTCTTCAAGTCCTTTGCAAAGGGCCTCTGCAGCTCATCAAAGCCGTCCAGGATGAACAGCAGCCGCTCTGGCTCCCTCGATATCTCCGCCACAGGCGCTTGGTTGTCCCCACAACACCAGAAGAGGATCTGGTCCAGTGTGCCCTCCTGCAACAGGACCACCTCTCTGCAGCTGACATAAAAGACATAATCAAACTGGCCTGGGTAGAGGATGCCCGTAGCCCAGTCCAGCACCATTTTTCTGGCCAGTGTTGTTTTTCCAGTGCCAGCAGACCCCTCTAGTACTACTGTGGGCGGGGCATGGTAAGACTTTTCTTCTGGATTAAACAGAGCACCTACTGAGACAGAGTCCAGCTCTTGCTCCGGGCTGGGGCAGGCAGATGATTCTGGGCTCTCTGGGCGGGGCGTGGCCACCAGGAGCAGCTGGTTGTGGCTGCTGCAGGTTCCCATCTCTTGCCTCTCTTCCAGGCAGCGCACATGCTCTCAGTATATTTCTCTGTAATCTGAACCAGACACATGATGTGTTAGCAGATGAGATGGGGATAAAGAAGGACAAAGAGGGCCGTTCACACTCTAGACTCTGCTCTCTAGTTTTAGTTTGTATGCTCTCTTCCTTGTACCTTCCAGAAGTTAGTACTTCGAGCTACAAGGGGAGCAACTGCTACAGATGTCTATGTGTGTGTGTGCCTGCACACATTTACACGCCTGATGAGTGTGTGTACATCCGTATGAGTGTGCAAAGGCGTGCTTTGTGTGTGTGGATATCTGTGGGGTATGAGTAACTGTATTCACACATGCTCATGGGAGCATGCCTATGAAAGCTTTTGTATTTTTTAATGTTGATTTTTGAGAGAGAGAGAGAGAGAGAGAGCAGGGGAGGGGCAGAGAGAGAGGGAGACACAGAATCTGAAATAGGCTCCAGGCTCTGAGCTGTCAGGACAGAGCCTGATGTGAGGCTCAAACCCACGAACTGTGAGATCATGACCTGAGTCAAAGTCAGACACTTAACCAACTGACTGAACCACTCAGGCACTCCAAAAGCTTGTGTATTTTGGGGTAAGGAAGGTGTGTCAGTGTGCATCAGCAAGTAGGTGTTTGTAAGAATATGTATAGAAGTCTCTGTGTGTGTGACTGTCTGAGGGTTCCTATGAAACATCCCCATTTCAAATGGTGAAGACAGGGCCACCTGGGAAGCGCAATTAGTTAAGCGCCTGACTCTTGATTTTGGCTCAGGTCATGATCTAATGGTTTGTGGGGCTGAGCCCTGTGTGGGGCTCTGTGCTGACAGTGCGGAACGTGCTTGATGTTCTCTCCCTCTCTCTCTCTCTGCATCACCCTGTGCTCTCTGTCTCTCAAAATAAATAAACTTTTTTAAAAAAAGATTTAAAAATGTTTTAATTGAGATGGTAATGACAGAGAGTGGAGCAAGGAAAGGGGAGCAGAAGGATAGTGAAGTAATAGGAACCTGTTCTTGGTAATGATCAAACTGGGTGCTCAAGATAAACCAGCTTCTGGGCAGAAGCCATAACTATATGTCAGAAGAGGTCTCAGGTGTGAAAGGGGCCTATGGTCAGAGCACAGGCACCCCCAGCACCCCACAAGGAAGGACAGGAGATCTTCTGGGCCCCATGCCCACCCTACACTCTAGGACGGCATCAATCCATCAGTTACTCAAGAGAGTGGGATGCAGAAGCAGACAGTCCTATGTGGGAAATAGCCTGCACTGCCTGCTGGGACAGCAGCTAAGGCAAGGTCAGACCCCCACCACCTGATGCCATTTCTACTGCTTAGCAGAAACCCCGTCATCAACATCATCCCCAGTCTCTAAGCCCTTCTCCCTCCTCTCCTCTTCTCTTCTGTGGCACTGCAACTGGATATAGGAGGTGGGGCATTATGGCTACAAAACAATCGTAGTCTTTCTGTAAATAAGTGCCCACCCTCCGCTCAGGTGGTCAGAGCCTTGGGCTGAAGACCACCAGAATCCTGGGCACTGGTGCTCCTAGGCATGGACAGAGGGCAAGAGTGAGAGACAGCATAAATTATAGGTTGTGGGAGTCTCTGGAAATGCCATGGGGGTAGGGAGTCCTGGGGGTACCCTGACCTCCTGTCATCCCCTCCTGCACTCACCATTCAGACAGATGTGGCTGAGCTGGTCCGCTAGTTCCAACTGGTTCATGACCCTCAGGACCCTGAACACCACCTTCACGGCCCCCTGTGCACCATACAGTGAAATCATCAAAGAAGCCAGGTCTACCTGGCTCAGGCCCTCCAGCTCCCCCCGAGCCACCTGCGGCTGCCCCTCAAGCAGGCTTCTGTCCCGTAAGTGGAACTTGAATAGCTTGAAGCTTTTCTCTTCAAGGTCACTCAGGGTCCAGGGCAGTGCCTCTCGGGGATTGCAGGCCAGGGCCATGGTGTTCAGGTGAAGGGTCGAGTTGAGACCGGTGACCTGGAGAAGCAAGAGAGAGGGAAAGACAAGTGGGCACTGAGGGAAGAGCAGCCTTCAGGTACCTCAGCCACTCTCCTTTCTGGGTGCTTATCAAGCTGTTGAGCCCAGGCCAAGGAGAGATGAGAGAGATGTGTGCAAAATTCCAAGAAAGGCGAGTAGGTGGGACAGCAGGGAATTTTCCTGCTCATTCCCATTGTGCCTGTTTGTCAGCTGATGTGTGTCTGTGCCAGCAAATAGGAAGGAAGGGATGTGGGTGTATAGGTTCTTTCTATCTCTGCATCTGTCTCCTCTCCCCGTACTCCCTCTCACACACACCGTCAGACCCTAAATACCTGCTTAAGAAGGTTGGGTTAAAACGATATACTTCTCAAAGTTTTCAAAGTGAGCCCTCCCTGACATTGTAAACCTACACAGAGTTGGAACATATTGGCTAGGATGGCTGAGGAGTCCTGGCAAGAGGGTAGAAACTCTATATTGTCAACCCATTGCCTTCACAATCAGCCTCATGGACTGAAGCACTCACAGGATTTCAAAGCTGGAATTTTTTAAATTCAGATAAGGAGATAAGTTCAAATAATTAAAGAAACAGTCACTTTGAGGGCCCACTTTGTGCCCCATGATTTCTTTTTTTTTTTTTAACTTATTGTCAAGTTAGCTAACATACAGTGTATACAGTGTGCTCTTGGTTTTGAGGATAGATTCCTGTGATTCATTGCTTACATACAACACCCAGTGTTCATCCCAACAAATGTCCTCCTCAATACCCATCATCCATTACCCCCTTCCTCCTACCCACCTCCATCAACCCTTAGTGCGTTCTTCATATTCAAGAGTCTCTTATGGTTTGCCTCCCTATCTGTTTGAAACTATCTTTTCCCCTTCCCTTCCCCATAGCCCTCCATTAAGTTTCTCAAGTTCTACACATGAGTAAAAACATAAGATATCTGTTTTTCTCTGACTGACTTATTTCACTTAGCATAGTGCCATCCGGTTCTACCCACATTGTTGCAAATGGCAAGATTTCTTTTTTCCTCATTGCCAAGTAGTATTCCATTGTATATAAACCACATCTTCTTTATCCATTCATTAGTTGATGGACATTGGATTCTTTCAATAATTTGGCTATTGTTGAAAATATTGCTATAAACATTGGGGTACGTGTGCCCCTATGAATCAGCACTCCTGTATCCTTTGGATAGATTCCTAGTAGTGTTATTACTGGGTTGTAAGGTAGTTCTATTTTTAATTTTTTGAGGCACTTCCACACTGTTTTCCAGAGTGGCTGCACCAGTTTGCATTCCCGTCAATACTACAAGAGGGTTCCTGTTTCTCATATCCTCTTCAACATCTATTGTTTCCTGAGTTGTTAATTTTAGTCACTCTGACCCATGTGAGGTGATATCTCAATGTGGTATTTTTATCTTTATTTGAAAGAGAGAGAGAGAACACGAATGGGGAAGGGGCAGAGAGATGGAGATAGAATCCAAAGCAGGCTCCAGGCTCTGAGCTATCAGCACAGAATCTGACGCAGAGCTCGAACTCACAAACTGTGAGATCATGACTTGAGCCAGAATCAGATGCTTAACCGACTGAACCACGCAGGTGGCTCAGTGTGGTTTTGATTTGTATTTCCCTGATGATGAGTGATGTTGAGCATCATTTCATGTGTCTGTTGGCCATCTGGATGTCTTCTTTGGAAAAGTGTCTATTCATGCCTTCTGCCCATTTCTTCACTGGATTATTTGTGCTCCATGATTTCTAAGTATTATCTCTCTTGATCATCGCAGAAACTATCTTTGGGATCACTCCAGATAAGAAATTTGAGAGAAAAGTGGTTTTCCAGAATTTTCCAGAGCTGGACCAGTGGGCATAGAGGCAAGATTTAAATCATGGTTTGTGACCTGGGTAATTAGGGACAGAAAGAGATGAAAAGACAAGCGATAGAGGACAGATGCAGAGACTGTATCATTAGACTAACTGCTATCCCCCACTAGAGAGAACAGGATCTTGAATTTTGTCTAAAATATAGAACTAATATGTTGACAGGGTGGCAGTCTTCAGAAGAAAAGAAGCAACAATTAGCAGAAGATTTCAGAGTCCAGAACTACCCCTTTGATCTATACCAATGGGAAATCCATCTCAGTAGCAAAATGTCTAAGAGCTACAAAAAGGTATTTGGGAATGGAGAAAGCCACTGAGATTCAAATACCAGCATTTTAATTATGCACCAAAAAGAGAAAAAAAATTTCAGAGTATATTAGGATACAAGGGACTTTGGATGAAAGTCTTGAGGTAGTTTGGAAAAGCAAGCCTATTCACACAGGAGCGATTTACAATAAACTCTCAGACTCCCCTGAAAACCTCTGTTATTGGCAGAGCTAATTCAGGAGAGAGCAAGAAAAGACAGCACTAGAGGGTGCCAAGGAGATGTGCAATCTAGGCTTCAGGCCATTTGGACTCAAAGAGCAGGAGGTGAGGCAGGGATGACTCACCTCCCTTATGCAGGAGCCCAAGAAGCCAGGTCCTGGGCACTGAGCAGAAACAGATCTTTTCTAGTCAGACCCCAGCCAAGCCTGGGTCCATGTAGCCCAAACTCACTAGTTCACTTCTGCTTCGTGGTGCTGGGATTAAAAGGACAGGTGGGGGCATCTGGGTGGCTCAGTTGGTTAAGCATCCGAGTTCGGCTCAGATCATGATCTTATGGTGTGTCGGTTTGAGCACCGGCGTTGGGCTGTCTGTTGACAGCTCAGAGCCTGGAACCTGTTTTAGGTTCTGTATCTCCCTCTCTCTCTGACGCTCCCCTGCTTATGCTGTCTCTCTCTTACTCTCTCAGAAATAATAAAAAAACATTTTAAAAAGGGGGGCAGGTGGGACAATCCCAGCACCTCCCTTTTAATACCTAACAGGCCCAGGTCCATATGAGGCTGGAAGTGATGAAGCACCTCCAGGCCTCAGAACAGCAGAAACACCCACACATTCCATCTGATGGTCAGTAGATGAACACTGCTCATCAGAGGAAAACCTGATCTCCTTCCTCCACATAATAAGTTGAGAAACAAGCAAACGGCCAAGGGGATGACCTATTCTGTCACCAAGAATAAAACAGTGTCCAGCAGCTTTTCCTCTCCCTCTCCGAAACCCCAGTGCTCTCTTACAACTTGACACAGGGCCAGGATGGGGCAGTCTGACTTGAGAGGTGAAGGAATTGAGGAACTGTCACCACCACGTCCTCAGCCATGCATTGCACTATTTCTTCACATTGTTAAACCCACTGGAGGATATGTTCCACCAAAGTGAAAAGGGAGAAAGACAGAAGTTCCATGAAACAGGAATCCAAACAAGGAGGAAAACAAAGCCCTCCCGACCCCCCACCCCCACCTCCCAGGGCAGCTGGTCAGAGGGCCTACAATGGGGCCAGGACAGAAGCCCTGACTAAGGAGAATAAGGCTCTCAGACCATCTCCAAGGAAAGAAAAGAACTGACAGAGTAACAGATGCTTTTGGGTCCTCTAGAAGACCCTACTGAGAGGCTACTAGAAGGTATGGAGAAATTAACATTCAGTGCCAAGAAAACAAAACAAATAAATAAAATAAAGAAATTACTAGCTCTAGGAAGAACAAAAAATAAGAAAGAATTTTACATAATAGTAAACTACAGCACTCAGGTGTAAATAATGTTTGCATAGAAATAATAATGGAACCACTGAATATTGATCTAACTAAAATGTATAATATAACCATATTGAAAGAACAGTGGTAGAATGTTCTGGCATAGGAAGTCAAGAGATAATGCGTAAAACTGATGAGCCAAAAGGCAGCAGTAGACATTTTTACTTAAAAGTGCAGAGATGCAAGAAGAAACAATTTAAATATATGAGCAGCTGCCTCAGGAAAGAGAGATAGTGGAGTAGGGGGGTGGAGAAGTGGGCCAGGAAAGTACTGGATTTGGAGCATAAACTTTTTAATGTTAACTCACCTTTTAAATTATGAGCATGTATTTGATAAAATAAAAATTAGAAAAATAAGAATAGGAGGTAGAAGTAAAGATAGTAATACTGTATTGCATATTTGGAAGTTAGTAAGAGTCAATCTTAAAAGTTCTCATCACACAAAAAAATTCTGGAGCTATGTATAATGATAGATATTAGCTAGATTTATTGTGGTGTTCATTTCACAATATAAACATATATTGAATCATAATGTTGTACACCTGAAATAAATATAATGATGTACGTCAACTAAACCTCAGTAGAAAAGAAAGAAAGAAAGAAAGAAAGAAAGAAAGAAAGAAAGAAAGAAAGAAAGAAAGAAAGTTACTGTATATAGACAAGCTTGGCAACAAAAGGAATGAGAGGTCCTGAAAAGATGTACGGAATGTGGGGCCAAAAGAAAGTCTTGTTTGTTTTAATATGAGAGAGGGTGGGAAGGATTTAAATGCTGACAAAAATCATCTGACATAGGAATCAGGTTAGAAATGCAGGCAAGAGAGAGAAGTACCAGAGGACAGTATTGAGCTGTGGATTGAAGCAGGATTCAAAGCAAAGGCAAAAGATTGGCCTTTGACAGGAGGATGGAGGAAACATTCTCCATCCATGCTTGAGGAAAGTGACGGGGTCATTTGGCAGAGCAAAGCAAGTCTGTGGGTTTTACGATCAGGTGAGTGTACTCATGTCTGGTGGTCCCTGAATTCTCTTTGAAGGATGAATAAGAGCATCTCCTAAGGGTGGGAGGGCTGGTGAAGAGCGGAGAAGCCATAAGGGAGCATCGTGGGGCCTCTCTTGCAGCTTCCCCCTCCCTCCCCAAGACCTCTCATGCCCAGTGCTCAGTGAGTTCTGCCAGAGTCCAGAACAGACAGGAATGGGAATTGGTCTCTCCCAGAGAGCTGAGGCTCTCCTTAACCAAGCTGAGGTTAGAGACAGAAACAAGACAGCAAAGAACCAAGCCCAAGAGATAAAATGGGAAAAT